TACCTCGAGTGGCTCTCATGCCTTTTAAAGGGTGAACCTTACTGTGAAAAAATGTAAATAATATAAGCTGAAGCTAAAACGTTAGTAATAATAACTGCGGGGAAATACATGTCAAAACAAAATGGCTTCACAGAAATGTAAAAATTACTGACAAGCTCCGTAAGCTTATTTTATTTATTCGTTTTTAAAATGGAGAAAAAATTAGGGACTTAGAACATTGTATCAACGATTAGCAATGGAGCCTTACAACTGGGTTCTAAAAGAGGTTGGTTCTACGTAACCCCCCCCCAAAAAAACAAAAAACAAAACATAACAAAAAACGGAATAAAACTGATCAACATAGAAGATTCAGATATGAAAAAGCGAAAAAAGTTCACGGAACGAAGGGGAGAAAAATATTGAATATAATAGTGAACAAATTGATTAAACATTGTCAATTTTCTTATTTTTTAATTCGTCTTTTTCCGTGAGTTTATTTCTGTCACTTTTTATTTATAATTGCAACAAAAATCGTTCGAATGTTATAAACTCAATAATATGACAACATCACTAGTCATGTCCACAAAATGATTGCGACTCCTCCTTCTCCTCCGAAAGATATAAGTAAAGAGAATTATAAATTCTCTCTTCTCTTGTTCTTGTAACGGCATTCACCCGAGGTGGGTTGAGCCGGCTCCAATATTGGAGTTTCATGGGAATTTGGAATTCACAAGCGGTCCCCAACCGCATGTATAGCACATGAGATTTGATTATAGTGGTGAAGGTTTCGTGCAGGACCATCCACACTTTTTGAAGGGCCGAATACAGAGACCTGGTGCACTACGTGCCACAAGGTCCCCAAACGACCCTCCGCAGGTTTTGAATTCAGAGTTTTCCTTCTCCTAGACCAGTTGCCATCCAAGGCTATAGAACCCAGTCTGTCCTGCTATTTACCCATAGCTGGAGGGAGATGAAGAGGATTCACACCTTTCCCAAGGGTATTAGCACGTAAGTGAATGTAATGGATTCGACTGAGTAGGCCCGGTGGAGTAATGGATAGCGGCTTGGATTGATGAATCGGAGAGCCGAGTTCGAATTATAAATTCGATGAAGAACTGACAGGAAGGGAAAGCATAGCTGCTGTCAAAATATTTACTGCTGGTGATTAAAAAAGAACTTGCTATCACTTGATCCCTATAGGCTTTCTATAATAATATCAATACTGAAGAAATGTGTACGAACCATTTATACTGACAGACATAACATTTAATATACCAGACTTTGTTATTAAAGACTACGAAAAATGCCAAAATCTTTGTAATATTTCGAACCATTGTTCTCCTTTTGTTTGATGCAGATGTTATATACACAACGTTTCGACTAAGTACCCTCTCGTCATCATCAGGTATACATTGATTGGCTGATATGGAATATCTCTTGATTATTGAGATATTTTTCTCTTGATATTAGTTATCGTTATATTAGTTATCGTTCGTTCCTGGTGGATTGGTGGGTCACTAACTCATGACCACAAGACGACAGTAACACACATGTATAACCAACTCCTGTATCCACTACAATCCTGAAGGACGTTAGTAGTGTGTTTTTGGAACCTTTGATAATCAATGTCAGATGGTTTTTGAAATTTGGTTATTATGGCGGGTAGGCAGCGCTTTCCATATTTATGAAAAGTGGAACCGTGGGGGAGTGGATATAGGAATTGGCTATAAATCTAATGGTCATGAGTTCAATGAGGCCACCTGATTATGACTATAGGATTTCTTGGGTTTCTGATTGGGACTCGGAATGAAATAAATAAATAATAATAATAATATCATCTCCAAGACTATCTTTGCCTCACCAGATACCTTGGGGATACCTGACATCCGGAGTATGTAGGTGTTAGAGCTGTTTTGAACTTCTCATGTCTAAGTTGCAAGTAGGAGTTGAGATATGTGTTGTTCCTGATGACGGTCGTCTTTGAGTATAGAATCCAGAGGTTAGCAGTGAATATTTCGAAGACAGTAGGAAGCGTTGTTCAGGTTAGCAGTGGATATTTTGGTAAAAGTAGCAGAGCGTAGTTCTTCCTTCTGTTCCTCTTCGCCTGACAAGCTGGACTGGACATTCGGGTAGAGTAGACAAAATGACCGCCTTTATACACAACGGATTGAATGTTCTACGTCTTCTGTTCTGTTAACCTTCTATTGATGGACTATAAAGCGAGTCAAGTCATTTGGGCTAACTCACTAGTACATGTATACACAAAAAAACTGCAACAATATGACTAACACGAGTCGGTCAAAACATTTAAGAGTCGGAAAGTATATCAACTAATAATAATAATAATAATAATAAGTAATGATTAAGTTTTAACGAAAAAAGTTTGGATGTTGATCAACTGTGCAAAAGCTTTTTTGAGGCGATATAAATATAACACTTGGAGTAATAAGAAAACGGCATAATTCCCGTGTGGGGGTTCTGTCTACAAAACTCTGAGTCAGGATGCTCTGTCTCATACATTGAGCTCTCATATGGATTAAAGTCCTCTTTGGTATTATATATATATATATATATATATATATATATATATATATATATATATATATATATACACAAACACACACACACACATATATATATATATGTGTGTGTATGTATGTATGTATAAGGCAGGATGTGTGTGTGTGTGTGTGTGTAACGAATGCACGGCCGCAATTTTCGACGGATTTGCACTAAAATTTACATGCACATGCTCCAAGGTCAAGACTGACTTTTCATTTCCCAACTCCCATCGATAGTGGAAATAATCGATTTTTTCATGCTTCTACGGCAGTTTCCATGTAGTTTTCGGACATTTTCTACTGGCCAGAGTGAGAGCTTATAGCTGGCTGCCACGAATAGGCAAGAAGATTCTATTGGCCGGCGTGAGAGTCAACAGTTGACTGACACGAATGTTAACTAGCATGTTAGCATGCAAAAAAAATCGATAGCTGCATTCATCAGAAGGGGAAAAATTTAAATCTGCATGGCACTTTACTCCAATTGGCTCATTCGCTTGCTTAAACTCAACGTTGATTCTAATTCCGCAGAACTGGGTTGGGTGTGAAAAAGTATTTGTTGTTAACATTCTTTTTTTCATTCGGTTTTCCATTACGAGTCCTTTTTTAAAGCTGATCGTTTTGTGTTCATTTTGTTTAGTTCTTTTTTCGTAACAGATTTAATGTTTAGTATAGAGCTTAGAAAATTTTTTTGGCAGTGTGAGATAGGCAAGAAGTAAGACATGTAGCAACATCAGCACGGCAAAGGGCACTCCTTTAAAAAAGGCAAGGAAGGGCAAAATATTTTAAGTCAAGTGATAGCGATTGCTGTATGAGTCGTACGATTTTGAATCAAGCACAGGCAACCCCAGGCCATGTTGCTAGTGTATATATATATATATATATATATATATATATATATATATATATATATATATATATTAGGCCTTATTTTTAGTTCTGATACTTATTGCAAGTCTGTCCCTGCTCTCCGGTTGTTTTTGGAGTTAACTTTATTTGTTAAATTTCAAGTGCAAATAAAATATTGCGGGACAGTTCTTTCATGGGCAATATTAAAAGTTTCTATTGTGATTTTCAGTGCTTCATTTTACTCTATGCGTCGGCTTTTGGCATCACGATAATCGGCAACGTTTTTCAATTGAGGAAGATCTTTGTCTTTTAATTTCTTTTTATCAGGTAGTTCTTATTTTCTTCAACTTAAAAGCATATTTTTTTCCGCCTGTTGTATTTATGTTTCCACGAAGCGACTGGCGTCTTCAATTAGATAAGCGTCACAAAAATGGATCGCGGTAACGACGACGACTAAACGAGAGTTGGCGGGCGACGGGGGGTATGAAAAAATCAAGTAAGAAAATGACAATAACAATTGTGATGATTGGTCAAAGCAGTAATGAGGATCAAGAAGATTGGGGAGGGGGGTGAAGTGATAATGCGTGCATTGAAGATTATGATAGGGATTAAAATATATCAACGGATGATGACAAATGGAACACAATGATGACAATAAAGTTGGTAAAAAGACTTTTTAGAAAAAAACGACATTAACTATTGTCTAAGAATTTTGTAGAATATGACGAAATATACTCGTAAATCATTATGGGAACTCATAGAATTTTGATCTGTCACTCATTTCATTCTCACTCTCTCTTTATATATATATATATATATATATATATATATATATATATATATTTAATGATTAATTAATTAGCTATCATTTTTATTACTTATTGCTTCAAACGACATTATTAGTGGCTACCGGTTTTTGAAATAGACTCCTCGTTTTTTTTTTTTATATATGCAGTCAACCGCAAGAAAATTTGTTCTCCAGCAAGGTTCGAACATGCGTCGGCCTTTCTAGGAGAATCTACTCTCTGATCAGGTCAGCTTGAGACCGCCCCCATATATATATATATATATATATATAATTTTAAGTTTAAAGTGCCCAGTATCAAGGATAGAGCGTATGAAAATATATAAATGGACATTGAAGTCAACACCAAGGAGCTATAGTCTTTTTCATGCGTATTCAAGTCCTTATCTATCTATCTATCTATCTATCTATCTCTTATATATATATATATATATATATATATATATATATATATATATATATATATATATATATATATATATATATGTTTGTTTCAATTGTTTCATGCCTATAGAAATTTGAAAATAAATGCTTAATTTTATAAAAGAAAAGAAATTTGAACAGGAAAATTTATGTATTCCAGAACTCTGAATATATCTGTATGATAAAATATACATCAATACATTTGAAAAATGAATATATATATAAATATATATCTCGATATTTGTCTAGTAGAAATCTAACTGTTCACAAGAGGTGTTTATTAGTCTTTTTCAATGAATTATGTGCTCAGTAATTGCTGCCTTGTGTCCAACTACTGTTTATGAAAACTCTAATTATTTACTCTATTCCTTTTGCGTTCTTCTGAGATTTTCTCTTCTCCTCGCCCTGCGCCTCTCAATTTCCGACTTACTCTTCTTACCTTCATACTTATTTAATCTCTTGTTTCTCTTTCTCTGTTCTTTTCCTTCTTCGCTTCCTCTTCTGCATTTCTTTTTATTCCTCTAAGTTTTCCTTTCATTTTGCAGAAAGCGTACCATCATTTCATAATCACTATCTGCACCCCCACCTCTTCTTTCTTCTTGTTCTTTTCCGTTCTTTTTCACTCGCCCCTTTTCACCCACTTCCATCTCTGCTAATCCTACCCCTATCCACGTACCACTTACAACGTTACGTTTCCGCTCCCTTACCTCCCTTTCCTCAATATCCAATCATATGCTTCTTCATCGTATCTTCTTTGTTCAGCAAACACAGGATTCAGCGCCATTTTAACTCGTGAATTTTGTTAGCTAATTGCAATTTCATTTATTACCGACAAATCACGGAACGCCTCTTTCCCGCGCAAACAAAATTCTGGCAAACAAAGGCATAAGACAACAAAGTTATGCAAAAATAAAATCAAGCCTGAATGAAATGCAGTTCAGTGATTATGATAATGAATTAATTACAAAGATTTGTGTGGCTTACCTCGGCTGATGTAATATGTAATGTATTTCAGAACACGTACAAAAAAGAAAAAAAAACTGTCTTCATTGAAAGACAGTAAGATAACCCAGCATCGTTCGCCTTGCATCGAAACTTTTACATTCATACATTTTTAATTAAAACTTTCTTAAAAACTAATGTTGTGTATTTTTATGGATACATAATTCACTTTGTTATATTGCATAAAAAACATCTATTGTAAGACACGACATGAAATGAAATAATAACCTCTATGAAATAATAACCTACGTAATAGGTATACGACTGATCACTACTGCCGAATCATTTCTCATACAGAGAACTGGAACGATTTCTTGAACGAAGTCAACTTTGGCATAAATAGTTTCTTCCAACATTTTGTAGAAATTAAAATATTTTTAATAATTACAAAACTAATGGTTGGAAAGTCACGACATTTTGTTAAAATGTAAGTCTTTCGTGCATTTGGAATTTTACTGAAATTACCGAAATTACTGAATGAAATAAAATTGAATTTATGCTTGAATGTATAAAGATATATATGTTTGGATTGTTTAATTCTCGATGCAATCAACGCGGCGGCAGGGACGTAGCACACACACACACACACACACATACTCATGAATATACACACATACACACACTCATGAATACACACACACACACACACTCATGAATACACACATACACACACACACACTCATGAATACACACATACACACACAAATACTCATGAATACACACACGCACACACTCATGAATACACACATACACACACACACTCATGAATATACACACACACTCATGAATATACACATACACACACAAATACTCATGAATACACACACGCACACACTCATGAATACACACACACACACACTCATGAATACACACATACACACACACTCATGAATACACACATACACACATACACACACAACTACTCATGAATACACACACACACTCATGAATACACACATACACACACACACTCATGAATACACGCATACACACACACACACTCATGAATACACACATACACACACACTCATGAATACACACATACACACACACAAATACTCATAAATACACACACACACTCATGAATACACACATACACACACAAATACTCATGAATACACACATACGCAAACACACACAAATACTCATGAATACACACACACACACACATACACACAAATACTCAAGAATACACACATACACAGAACAACACACAAAGAATTGGTGTGATGGTACGCCAGGTAAAAGTGAAATATAATGAGCAACCCAAATATGTAATTGTGGTCCCTGCACGGAGAGAAATCCGCGCATGATGTGAGAAGTGTTCATCTGGTACAATTTGTTGAAATTTACATATTTTAGGGCTACCCGGAATTTGATCCATATATTTGTTTGCACCATTTAGTATAATTCCTAATAATAATAATAACAATAATAATAATAATTTACTCTACATGGATGATCTCAAACTCTTTGCCAAAGACGACAATGAGTTGAAAGGCCTCCTCAATATTGTAAAATACTTCAGTGGCGACATAGGTATAGACTTCGGATTAAATAAATGTGCAAAAGTATCATTCAAGAAAGGTAGAATTACAGAAACACCCTTAATAGATTTAGATTTTGTCACAAAGATTAGGGAACTTGAGCATGATGAAGCTTATAAGTACCTAGGAATTAGCGAAGGAGATGACATACAACACCCCCAAATGAAGGAGAAGGTAAGAAAGGAGTACTAAAGGCGTGTACGTCTGGTACAAAATACTGAGCTAAACTCAAAAAACAGAATATCAGCCATAAACACATTGGCTGTCCCTGTGGTGAAATACAGCTTTAATGTCCTTAACTGGACCATAGCTGAAATTAAGCGAATGGACGCCAAAACGAGAAAGCTTCTCACTTGCTATCGCATGCATCATCCCAAAGCTGATGTTGATCGTCTGTATGTGCCCAGATCCGAAGGAGGCAGAGGATTAGTTCAACTAGAAATGTCCTACAAAACTACAACAATTTCCTCCAAAGATACTTGGAAACTACAGAAGACTGGATGATGGTATGCGTCAAGGAACATGAAAGTAGTAAGCGTCTTTACTCCGTAATAAAAGAAGCCAACAAATTCAAAATGGAGTTTCAAATGGGCGTAGAGATGCAACTACAGCACAATACACAATGAAACTGCAAAATACTTAAAAAAGACAGCAAAGACGAATGCAACCGACCAGATACAGAAGCGATTGCAAGATAAACCGCTTTATGGCCAATACTCTGCCCGTACCAAACAAGCTGACGTAGACAAAACCCGTACCCATCAGTGGATATGTAGTGAAGGGTTGAAAGCTGAAACTGAAGGTTTTATCCTTGCTGCACAGGACAAATACTTGCTAGCTAGGAATTATCAAGCACATATACTAAAATATTGTGTCAGCCCAAAATGCAGATTCTGTGATAAATATCCAGAAACGATTGATCATCTTGTATCAGGATGCACGATATTGGCAGCCACTGAATATAAAACCCGGCATGACAGAGTGGGCTAATACCTGCACTGGAAAATCTGCAACTTCTACGGGAAGGAAAAAAAAGAAAGAAAATGGTATAAGCACCACCCAGACCAGGTTACGGAGATAGGACCTGTTACAATTCTATGGAACTACACAATACACACTGACAGAACAATCAAAGCCAACCGCCCAGCTATTGTTATTAAAGACCACAAACAAAAATGGTGCCTCCTTATTGATATGGCAGTCCCTGCTGACTGCAATGTATCTTTGAAGATATTCAAAAAGCTGTCCAAATACAAGGACCTTGAAATAGAAATCTCGAAAATTTGGCATATGGGAACATTGTTGGAAAAGATTGAAGTAGACTAATTGAAGGGATTCCTGGAAGTCCGTGCCTCAAGGAGATACAAAAATTTGTTCTGACAAGTACAGCCCACACTTTACGAAGGGCTTTATCTATGTAATTTTTTTTTTTTTTTTTTTGTCAGTGGAAAGTGTCGTGATGCCATTTCTAACCTTAGGTCCATGGGCGGTACCCGGAATGAAATGTGTAAACGCCAGAAATCAAAGAAAATAATAATAATAATAATAATAATTGTTTCCTTTAATTTTTGTTGTATACTTATTACCTTTCGTGTCGGAACCACAGACCTAAGGTCAGAAATGGCATCATGACATTTTCCATTGAATATTTTTATTAAAAAAATAAGTAAATAACTAAAGATTAACACACATATTTCATAGATAAATCTCTTCGTAATGTGTGAGCTGTACTTGTGAAAACCACTTTTGCATTTTTTTTAAGGAATGGGCTACCAAGGATCCCTTCAGTGAATCTATCGGGACTTTTTCAATCAATCCGAGTGCTCCAACTACAACTGGAATTATTGACGCCTTCATGTGCCACATTTTTGAGATTACCTTTCAAGATCCTTGTATTTTGATAATGTTTTCAATGATACTCGAATATACATTACAGTCTGCAAGAACTACCAATAAGAAAGCACATCCTCTTTTTATGGTCTTTGATCACGATGTTCGACCGATTAGTTTTGATTGTTCTGTATTATTATCATTATTATTATTATTATTATTATTATTATTATTATTATTATTTTGTCTCATATCGATTCAATACGGTTCAGTTTTAGCTTTTCTTTGAAATTTTATAATTTTGTTTTTATATTCCAATTTTTACACAATCGTCACAAATATCAATGTAAAAATATACAAGGATAGAAAGAAAATCAGAAGAAAATCCAATGACAAAACCAACAATAATTGAATGCAACAACCACGCAGAAAAATCATATGATTTAAGGATTTAATAAATGGAAACTGCCTCTCTTAAAGGCCAATGACTTTTCAAACCGATAATATTTATCTGTCTATATTTCTGAGATGAGGTATTATGTACACTATTTACATTATTTGGACTCTTGTCCTCATCTTTGTCGCCATATTTATTACAACGTTTCGGCCTTTCAGTATCTGTCTATATTTCTGAGATGAGGTATTATGTACACTATTTACATTATTTGGACTATTGTCCTCATCTTTGTCGCCATATTTATTACAACGTTTCGGCCTTTCATATCTGTCTATATTTCTGAGATGAGGTATTATGTACACTATTTACATTATTTGGACTATTGTCCTCATCTTTGTCGCCATATTTATTACAACGTTTCGGCCGTTATGCGCCCCGGCCTTCTTCCTCAAGGACACATGGCACAGTTGATAAAGGCGTTTGTTAGATGCAGTGACAGGATCCCGGTTAAGGCGGTGGAGAACTTGGAGTTGGGAATTAACAGGAGGTAACTCATAACTGACATCCATTGGACATGGCACGTGGAACTAGAACAGTCTACTACCCCAGTGAGCGAAATAAAGGGTTCAGTTCAACATTCCAACCACCTGAAGAAGGCCGGAGCGTATAACGGCCGAAACGTTGTAATAAATATGGCGACAAAGATGAGGACAATTGTCCAAATAATGTCATAAGTGTATGATAATATTTATTCCCAGATTTCATTTTTTTTGATACAGAATGGCTGATATCTGCAGAAAAACTCCTCTAGACAAAATGTCTTGGATCCGAGGAACATGGCGGTCGCACCATATGCTGATCGTATTGAAACATTTATTTGAATGTTTATTAGTTTTATTTGCAGTGTGAGTTCGAGCCTTGTGCCTTTTCCTTTGAATGGTACAGTCTACTTAAAGCTTTTCTAAAAGTTGTTTTTTAGGAATTAAATGTAGGTAGAATATATCATTTTAACTTTATCGT